ATTCAAGATATGTTATTTAGGCAGCTCCAGTAGAGTTTGTTAGTATCTACAAAAGGTGACTTGCTTTACCCTATTAACTACATTTATAATATGTAGGAGCATCTAGAGATTTCTAAACTAACTGCCCAAATCTTACAAACTTATCTTTTACTAAGAAGAAACTACCATTTGACTTCCTGTGGATCCTACTGTTTTTTCTGAAAGGAAGAAAAAGTATGATGACTTCTGCTAACAACCAAATAAAAGCAAATTTCCTCTGCTTTTGATTACTTTTAGGGAAAAGCTCATCTGGTAAGTATTTAAGGAACTCTAGCAGCAATAAAATATTCTTAAGGATAAGGACTAAGCTGTAAGTCATGCAGGTTTTTTGCCTTTTAAGAGGAGCCAAATCAATACAGTGCAATATGCAATACAAACCATTGGAAGATGGTATCACCACAGTGTTTTAAATAGATTGTTCTATGCATTTACCAGTGTTACATTTGGTTAGACCAAGCCAGCTGTATGGACAGTCAATCACATACAGATCACAAGCAGACATGTAAAAACATAAAATGGAAGCATATCTTTTTTTTTTTTTAAAAAAAAAAACTATTCCTGCTTCAACTTTTTCAAGTCCTTCTTTCATCTTCCCCATTGCTTTCTCTAATCTTCCCTCCCATTCACCACTACCAGCTTAATTACTTCACCGGGAGATCCTGGCTCCGCAGATGATCACAGAATGAACAGTACAGGGCGTCAAGGCTCCCTGGACTGCAGAATCCAGAAGAGCTAGCTTAGACTGTAAAGGTGCCTTCTGCAACAAAATACCTCCTTCTTCTAAAACTCTTGCACTGTGCCTCTCATTTTTAATGTCTTCATGCCACTATGTACTAGGCAGTACTTGCCCAGTTCACTGGCTCACAGATTCCTATCTCTGTAGTAAACACAGTGTGTCTTCATTAACGGGATAACTCAGATACTAAGAACTACTCATCAAGAGACTTCAAGGCCAAACAGCCTATTCTTGCAAAACAAGCTTCTTGCTATTTCCTGTGTAAGTGATGACCCCACTCCCCAGACACCCACTTTTTATTCTTAGCACTGACAACTCTGTATCTGGATACTTATTTTTCCTCTGCACATAAATTCTTAGAAATTTAGGGTAGAAGCAAGCACAGAATCTTTGTCCGTGATATAATCTGGGACATTAATTAGTGTACATATTTCCGTAAGAAGCCCACAAAATTTAATTACAAAAAAAAATTTAAGTTGCAAAATTCCAAACAGAACACAAAATATCCAGCACAAATAGAAAGCGGGTTTTTTTTTTAAATGTAGCTACTATGTGCTAACAGGCATTTGATCAGTTATAGTGAACATCGAGGTACCCAAAACTGAACTTCCAAGTCCAGCTGTTTAGGCTAATCTAAATGACAGAAACACCCGATTTTACAAGCTATTCACTGTGCTCCCTCATTAGCTAGGTGAGCCCAGCCTGATGAGTAAAAGTGCTAATCTCTGTTCCACGCATTACACAAATAACTTCCCTCCTTTCCCACTTTAAGTATGAAAATCGACCACTTAACCTCTTAGCCAAGACACAGACAATAGCTTGTCTAACTTTCAGAGCTGTAAGAAACTGCATATCCTGCTTAAGCTAAGGGTTATATACTGGTCTTATCACTGTCTTTGAAAATCTAAAGGCAGTTACAGCTCAGTGTCACTTTTCAAGCTAGCACCTAGAAGTAGATAAAACTCTTAAAACTGCTAACATCTGATATTCAACTCATTTTATTCCTTTTTCCTATTTTTAGTTTACCTACAGGTGAGAGCAAGGAACACAACAGCATGCTGCCTCTGCCTAGACAGACCTCCTGGGCTACGCTCTGCCTTGCTTCCCTCTGCTCGGTCCTCACGACTGCCGGTTAGTTTTGGGAACCATTGGGGCACCCTCTCTCCATTCCGCCGTCCCATTCCAAGCGGCCTGGGCTGACCTGTGAAGTGGCCGCAGATTTGCCACCTTCTCCTCACTGGCTCGCTCAGGTAATGCTGATTGCTACGGCAGGAATCACTTATTTCCTTGATGTACACAGTTTGCTCTTTAGCAACCCGGCCGACCGGCCGCGCAAGTATCTTCGGGGCAGCAGCGGTACCG